AATAATCCACGCCTTGTTTGGCCTTTGAAAAAATATTCTTTAAATAATCCACGCCTTGTTTGGCCTTTGAAAAAATATTCTTTAAAAAATCCACGCCTTGTATGGCCTTTGAAAAAATATTCTTTAAAAAATCCACGCCTGTGGTTGGACCTTGAAAAAACATTCTTTAAAAAATCCACGCCTTCTTCGATGGTCTTTGAAAAATATTCTTTAAAAAATCTAGATCTAGAATTATTTTCCACTTCATTGCCGCTTCATAATGGGTTAATAAACAAAAGTTGTGTTTGGTAAACAAAACGTTTTTAATAAATTCTAGCGGATCCCTTCATTGACAAATCATTTCTTCGTTTACGGTTTGTCTGACAAGTTGTCGACGGGACAAAACAAAAACGAATGGATTTTAAAATATTTTTAATCACCCTCTGTTGTTGTTGTTATGCCATAACAGAGGTGTATGGCTATTGCTCCCTTACATTATCTGCTGATGAACGGATACGACCAAAATTATATATGAAAATTGGCAGTCGCAAGGCCCGCATCCATACCGAAGGCCTTTCGTATAGATTCAACGAAAATGATATTGTGACGGCCGATTGTGAAACCCGCATCCTGAGGTAAGTTGTGAAATTTAGGTGCTCCATCCAACAACAAACATGTTCTATCTATTCCAGTCCAACTCAGGGCAAAGGCAAACGTAGTATTGATATGAAATGTACCGGCAGTTATATTCAAGTTGATGGCAATAATCTGAATAGTAATCAGCAGATTTTATGCGATACCATCAAATGGAATCTATACGAATCGTCAACACAATTCCGCTGGTGTCCCACACCAATGGCCTCATATTTGTTGGCAAGGCCATTGGATAATTCATTCGAATATTTGGCCGGGGTGTGTTACAATTTTGAACAGCAGCAAATATTGTCATTGCATTATGCTGCTGCATATCAATTGGCAAAATATAAGGTAAGATTTTTTCCCAAGGACTAACAAATTGGTGTGGATTTTTTAAAGATTTTTTTTCCAACACCTGTAGAGCTTTAAGCGTGGATTTTTTAAAGAATTTTTTACAACACCTGTAGAGCCTTAGGCGTGGATTTTTTAAAGAATTTTTTTTCCAACACCTGTAGAGCCTTAGGCGTGGATTTTTTAAAGAATTTTTTTCCAACACCTGTAGAGCCTTAGGCGTGGATTTTTTAAAGAATTTTTTTTCCAACACCTGTAGAGCCTTAGGCGTGGATTTTTTAAAGAATTTTTTTCCAACACCTGTAGAGCCTTAGGCGTGGATTTTTTAAAGAATTTTTTTCCAACACCTGTAGAGCCTTAGGCGTGGATTTTTTAAAGAATTTTTTCCAACACCTGTAGAGCCATAGGCGTGGATTTTTTAAAGAATTTTTTTCCAACACCTGTAGAGCCTTAGGCGTGGATTTTTTAAAGAATTTTTTTCCAACACCTGTAGAGCCTTAGGCGTGGATTTTTTAAAGAATTTTTTTCCAACACCTGTAGAGCCTTAGGCGTGGATTTTTAAAGAATTTTTTTCCAACACCTGTAGAGCCTTAGGCGTGGATTTTTAAAGAATTTTTTTCCAACACCTGTAGAGCCTTAGGCGTGGATTTTTAAAGAATTTTTTTCCAACACCTGTAGTGGTTTTGGCGTGGATTTTTTAAAGAATTTTTTTCCAACACCTGTAGTGGCTTAGGCGTGGATTTTTTAAAGAATTTTTTTCCAACACCTGTAGTGGCTTAGGCGTGGATTTTTTTAAAGAATTTTTTTCCAACACCTGTAGAGCCTTAGGCGTGGATTTTTAAAGAATTTTTTTCCAACACCTGTAGAGCCTTAGGCGTGGATTTTTAAAGAATTTTTTTCCAACACCTGTAGTGGTTTTGGCGTGGATTTTTTAAAGAATTTTTTTCCAACACCTGTAGTGGCTTAGGCGTGGATTTTTTAAAGAATTTTTTCCAACACCTGTCGAACCTAAGGCGTGCATTTTTTAAAGACTTGTTTTTACATTCTTACCAATTTTTGGTTACATTTCAGTACCCTAGTCGTCTACAAAGTTATACTCCATCCTTGGAAATTTTAGATGTACCCAATAAATTTGTATCGCGTCGGTGAGTATATTAGTGTTTCTGCAGTGGATTTTTTATTCATATTCTTTTCAAAAAAAATAATTGTTTTGTTTTAGCATTAACAGCACACTTTTCAAGAATAACGAACTGCGCGAATGGATGCAATTTTCCGCATACGAACATCATTCACTAATCCAAGATCCGCATATGTATCGAAATTTTTATGATAAATTTGGTGGCCTCATCGAATTGGATTGGTGGCCAAATTTACGTTCGGGTAATTGGCGTCTCTACGAGAAGGCCCTGCATGACCATCTGGAGGCAGACAAAGAAATATATGATGTTTTGGCTGGTGTTTCGGAGGCGGTGACCGTGCCCATCTATGAAAATGCATGTAGGGAAAATTATACCATGGTCGAAGTCATCTATAGAGAAAATGAGAAAATCCCCCTCTATGTCTGGCAATATCTGAAGTCGACAACAAAGAATGGTAGCGATTTGGTGGTGATCGGCATCAATTCGGCATTTGTTGATGTGAGTAATGCAAATCTGGGGATTGGAGTTTTTATTTAGTTTTGTTACTCTCCTTTCAGTTCTATACGGAAAAGGAGTTGATTTTTTGTAAAGATATTTGCCATAAAATAGATTGGCTAAAATCCGTTCAATCCACCTTCCGTTACAAAACAATGGGTTTGATATTCTGTTGCGAAGTCAATGAGGTCAAATTGTCGAAACGTTTAGCAGGATTTCCATTGCCATCGAAGACAATAAGTTCTCCAGCAAAACTTCTACCCCTGCCAATATTACGTGCCAACGAAGAATTCGATGATTTCAATGAACCAACACAAACAGAAATTAAAACCAATATTAATGTGGATGGTGAATATTCGGAATCTACACCCGAATACGATAGTTATTAAGAAGTGTTTCATAAAAAATAATAAAAATACAGAAATAAATTAAAGAGATAATTCGTAGATTTTTTAAATTATTTTTTTCAAGGGACCTTTGGCTTGGATTTTTTAAAGAATTTTTAAACATGACTAAAAGGCCATTAGGCGTGGATTTTTTAAAGAATTTTTAATCATGACTAAAAGGCCATTAGGCGTGGATTTTTTAAAGAATTTTTAATCATGACTAAAAGGCCATTAGGCGTGGATTTTTTAAAGAATTTTTAATCATGACTAAAAGGCCATTAGGCGTGGATTTTTTAAAGAATTTTTAATCATGACTAAAAGGCCATTAGGCGTTTAATCATGACTAAAAGGCCATTTTTTTTTAAAGAATTTTTAATCATGACTAAAAGGCCATTAGGCGTGGATTTTTTAAAGAATTTTTAATCATGACTAAAAGGCCATTAGGCGTGGATTTTTTAAAGAATTTTTAATCATGACTAAAAGGCCATTAGGCGTGGATTTTTTAAAGAATTTTTAATCATGACTAAAAGGCCATTAGGCGTGGATTTTTTAAAGAATTTTTAATCATGACTAAAAGGCCATTAGGCGTGGATTTTTTAAAGAATTTTTAATCATGACTAAAAGGCCATTAGGCGTGGATTTTTTAAAGAATTTTTAATCATGACTAAAAGGCCATTAGGCGTGGATTTTTTAAAGAATTTTTAATCATGACTAAAAGGCCATTAGGCGTGGAGTTTTTAAAGAATTTTTAATCATGACTAAAAGGCCATTAGGCGTGGATTTTTTAAAGAATTTTTAAACATGACTAAAAGGCCATTAGGCGTGGATTTTTTTAAAGAATTTTTAAACATGACTAAAAGGCCATTAGGCGTGGATTTTTTAAAGAATTTTTAATCATGACTAAAAGGCCAGTAGGCGTGGATTTTTTAAAGAATTTTTAATCATGACTAAAAGGCCAGTAGGCGTGGATTTTTTAAAGAATTTTTACTCAAGCCTAAAAGGTCATTAGGCGTGGATTTTTTAAAGAATTTTTACTGAAGCCTAAAAGGCCATTAGGCGTGGAGTTTTTAAAGAATTTTTAATCATGACTAAAAGGCCATTAGGCGTGGATTTTTTAAAGAATTTTTAATCATGACTAAAAGGCCATTAGGCGTGGATTTTTTAAAGAATTTTTAATCATGACTAAAAGGCCATTAGGCGTGGATTTTTTAAAGAATTTTTAATCATGACTAAATAGCCATTAGGCGTGGCCTTATTAAAGAATTTTTACTGAGGCCTAAATAGCCATTAGGCGTGGATTTTTTAAAGAATTTTTACTGAGGTCTAAATAGCCATTAGGCGTGGCCTTATTAAAGAATTTTTACTGAGGCCTAAATAGCCATTAGGCGTGGATTTTTTAAAGAATTTTTACTGAGGTCTAAATAGTCATTAGGCGTGGCCTTATTAAAGAATTTTTACTGAGGCCTAAATAGCCATTAGGCGTGGATTTTTTAAAGAATTTTTACTGAGGTCTAAATAGCCATTAGGCGTAGATTTTTTACACAAATATCCATGTAATTTTCGGTATTTTGAAGTTCCAACCCTATCACCCTATATTACAGGCCAGCCAGTCTGCAACGCTCCCAGGATCTTGTTTTGGTCATCACCACAAAAAATGTGTAACTTGTTGTCCCCCCTTGATTTTGAATTCATTCATGTCTTGTAGACATTCTATACAAAGAACGAAAATCTTGTCTTACAACTAGTCGAAAGGATAATGAACTGTCATTAATTTGAAGGACTCCACAAACTTGTTTTGAATCTTCTGCTGCCGTGGTTGTACTCCCTTTGTTGGCCAAGTGACAAACATTTCGATATCCCAGTTTGTGGTGGCCCAGCCCGATCAGTGCGTATATAAATAAACGTTCTGTTTGCCTCATCACATTCATAGTTCGGCCGGCCACTGATAAAACAGAGGTCGTAATAATCGTATTTTTTTTTGTTCTTGGTGAAATAGAATCCATAAACAATTACCATGGGTGGTAAGTATAGTGAAAAAATATAGTTTAAAAAAAATGCATTCTTCAGATGAATTGTGGAAAAAGAGTATTTAAAAAAATCTTTGTTTGGTATGATTCCTAAAAACATATTCTTTAAACAATCCTCACTTCGGATGGACTGTGAAAATTTTTTTTAGAAAAATTCAAACTTCGGATTTGTCGTAAAAAATATTATTTAAAAATCGAAACGTGGGATAATCCGTGAAAATGTGTTCTTTTTAAATCCATGCTTCGGATCAACCGTAATTAATGTTTTTTTCAAAAAATTGCCTTGGGATGGTCCGTGGCAAAATATTATTATAATAAACCCTATTGGGAATGTCCGTGAAAAAACCCATTGTTTAAAAAATCCATTGTTCGGACGGATTGTGATAAAAACAAATCTAAGTTTAATATGGTTAGTGAAAAAAGGCGGGGATTTTTTTTAAATATCTTTTCCAAGTACCAACAAAGACGTGGATTTTTTAAAAATATTTTTTTGAGATACCAACAAAGACGTGGATTTTTTTAAATACCAACAAACACGTGGATTTTTTAAAATTATTCGATTTAAAAAATATTTCCAGAAAGTTTCCCATCTATAGAAAACATTCTCGAAAGTTTCTACCTGTAGAAGACCGGCAAAACATATTCCATAGATAATGATCTGAAGGATGTGCTATGTGTATATAGGCTTTCTATCGACAGATGAAATCCTGCAGATTGTTGGATAGTAGTTCTATAGACAGAATACCTCTTGAAAAACATATCTGTTAGCGTTTCTATTGCAGATCATAGACACATAGATCTTCTGTCTTTCGAATTGAGAAGACCTGCTGGAGGGCTTCTGTCTATACTTCAGCAGGATATTCCTGCTTATATATAACGCAGGTGTCCAAACTATAGAAGACCAGAAGATCTGCAATAGAGATATTCTATCTATAGAACTTCTATCCAACAATCTGCAGAATTGCATCTGTCGATATAAAGCCTATAGGATGTCTTTAGCCGACGGTAGATTTTAATGTGCATTTTTGTCTACGAACACCTGCTGGAGGTGTTCCGTGTATAGAATACTTGAAAAATAGTTCTGTTCAAGCAGACCTTTATCCCATAGAAGACCCGCAGGAATTTTTGCTTATAGAACTTCAGACTATGGAATACCTGCAGGAATTCGTATATGTATAGAAAATCCGTCACTTCTAGTGGCTTTCTGTAAAAAAGGCCTGTATGGTGAGGCTTTGAGGCACCAACAAAGGCATGGATTTTTTTAAAAATATTTTTTTGAGGTAGGATTTTTGCAGGATTTCGTCTGTCGATAGAAAACCTATAGGAGGTCTTCTGTCTATGGTAGATCTTTATATGCATTTTTGTCTTTGAACACCTGCTGGAGGTGTTCCGTTTATAGAAGACTCGAAAAATCCTTCTGTCCAAGCAGAACTTCAGACTATGGAAGACCTGCAGGAATGGGCTTCTGTCAAAAAGACCTGAATGATGAGGCTGTAGAATATCTTCTGTCTATTGATGATCTATGAGAGGAAACATTCAGTCTATATAAGATATGTTGTAGATGATGTGCCTGTAAAAATCCGATGTCAAGAGGTCTTCTGTCGATAGAAGATTTCATGTCATGTTAAATTTTTGGTAGACAGATTTAACAACCAATGACAAAGAAGTTACAGTCATAATACGGAATAATAGCCGCCGGTACCGTTCTGCTGTTCGGTAATTTTGTATTTTGGGTTCTCATGGAGTAACATATCCGCCTACCAAAAATTATCAATATTGGTTCCATTTTTATGATAACCGCCATGACGGTACTTCCCAATTTCCGAAGTTTGGGGAGTATGGTCGCGTTTTCAACCGAAATGGATGTAATAGGTTTTTTTTTCGAATTCTCGTTGGGTGTGAAATCTCATTACCAAAAATGCTCAATATGGGTCCACTTTTTTGGATATGGGGGATATAACGGTACCTCCCAATTTTCGAATTTTGAGGAGTATGGGCACGTTTTTCAACCGAAGTGGATGTAATATGGCACTTTAAATACTCATAGGATACTTAATTTTTATATTCTTCTTTCAGTTAATACTCATTTCATAGCCACAATTTGTGCTATGATATTAACGGTGGTTGCCGTAGTAGTTGCCACACCAACGACCATCCCCAATGATGCCGCCTCACATCTCCGAGATGTATCCAAAAGTTTAGACATCTTCGGAACGAAACTTTATTCGAAAATAGCTACGCAGAGCGGACGGAAAAATATTATATTTTCTCCATTCTCAATTGAGACCAGTCTGGCCATCACTCGTTTGGGTGCTTCAGGTCAAACAGCCGAAGAGATAGACCAGGGTCTATCTTTAAAATTTAACAATGGCGTCAAGTTGGCCAACTATTTCCAAGAAATCCTTGCCGCATATCAGACCAGTGATCTTCTACAAATGGCCAATAAAGTATATGTCATGGAAAATTTCGAACTATACGATCAATACAAGGAGTTGCTGGCGAAAAATTTCTACACATCAGCCGAAAATTTAAATTTTACCCAGAACATAAAAGCTGCGGAAACCATCAATTCTTGGGTTGCCTCAAAGACACATCAGCTGATTAAAGATTTGATTGCGGCCGATGATTTGGATGAACGCACACGCATGGTACTGCTCAATGCCATTTATTTCAATGGTGAATGGTTGGTGCGATTCCACGAACAGGCCACATTCCAAAAACCATTCTATGTGGATGCAACAAATAGCGTTGATGTGGCAATGATGCAAACCCATGGCGAATTTCGTTATGGCCAAATAGATCAATTGGATGCCAGCGCCTTGGAAATGCGCTACAAAAATTCCGATCTTTATATGCTTATAATATTGCCGAATGCTCGTGATGGCTTAGAGGATCTAAGGATTAAATTGCAATCGTATTCGCTGGAAGAGTTAAGAGCCGGCATGGTTGAGACAAAGGTTCTCGTGGAGATGCCAAAATTTGCAGCTGAATACAAAATCGAATTGAAAGAGATTTTAAAAAGCGTAAGCGATGAAATATTTGAATATATATTTGTTTAATTCTCTATTTTTTTTCCTGCAGTTGGGTATCGAACGCATGTTCTCTGCCGATGCGGAATTGACAAAAATGGTAAAAGGCAAATTTGAAGTGACGAAAGTTCTGCACAAAGCATCTATTGCTGTCAATGAGAAGGGCACTGAGGCTGCTGCGGCAACAGGTATGCATGAGAAAACTTGATTGGTTTCGTTCTACGAAAAATTATCAATATTGGTCTACTTTTTACCATAGCCTCCATATAGCGGTACCCCCGAATATTCGGAATTTTTGGGAGTATGGTATTTCGATTTCTCACCTTTTTACTAAAAATTATCGATATCAGTCCACTTTTTACAGAAGTCCCCATATCGCATCTGTTTTCAATTGAATTGACTGTAATTGGTATTTTGTGTTCTCATTGGGTAACAAATCCTCCTACCAAAAATTATTGATATTGGTTCACTTTCTTCGATAGCCCCCATATAGCGGTACCTCCCAAATTTCGGTATTTTAGGGATATTTTACATTTTTTTTTTAATCGGATTGACTGTAAGTTGATATTTTGGGTTCTCATAGGGCAACGCATCTTCCGACTAAAAATTATCAATTTTGGTCCACTTTTCACAATAGCCCCCACATGAAGGTACCTCCCAAATATTTTCGGAATTTTATGAATTTTTGACAGGGTTTTCAATCGAATTTTCTGTAATTTGGTATATTGGGTTCTCATATGGTAACACATTTTCCTACTAAAAATTATCAATAATGGTCCACTTTTTACGATAGCCCCTATATATCGCCACTATATCCACATTTTAGGAATATGGGCAAGTGTTTTCAACAGAATTGGCTGTAATTTGATATTTTGGGTTCTCATTGGGTAACACATCTTCCTACCAAAAATATCAATATTGGTCCACTTTTTACAATAGCCCCCATATAGCGGTACCTAACAAATATCGGAATTTTTGAATATTTGACAAGATGTTTTTTCAAACGAATTCACTGTAATTTGTTTTTTTTTTGGGTTCTCATTGGGTAACATATCCTCCTACCAAAAATTATCGGCCCAAATTTTGGCATTTTGGGGAGTATGAACACCTTTTCAAGCGAATTGGCTGCAATTTGAAATTTTGAATTCTCAAGGGCCCCAACGAACTTATCGATGGTTTTTTATAGCTTCTTCTTTCGTAAAAACATATATACTTCTAATATATTCTAGGTTTAAGTTACGATTTTTGTTTTGTTTTTTGAAATACTAAAATTTATTTTTTTTTTGTATTTTTATATTTCCAGGTATGACTGCGGTTCCCACATCTCTTATTATTCCGCCTAAAATTCCGACCAAATTTATCGTGGATCACGGCTTCTTCTATAAGATAGCGAACAATGATGGCATTGTATTCTTTGAAGGATCGCAGCAAGAGTTTTAAACTCACACAAACACACACACACACTCACACAAAAATAAATAGTGATGGTGTTGGAATTATCGAATAATATTGGACTTGGACTTTTATTTGGAAAGGTTTGAGAAAAGTAAGCGTGGTTTTTTTAAAGAATTTTTACTGAGTCTTCAAAGGCCATTAGGTGTGGATTTTTTAAAGAATTTTTGATCCAGGCCTACAAGGCCATTAGGCGTGGTTTTTAAAGAATTTGTATCCAGGCCTAAAAGGCTATTAGGCGCGGATTTTTTAAAGAATTTTAAACCAGGCCTAAAAGGCCATTAGGCGTGGAGTTTTAAAAAATTTTTATCCAGGCCTTAAAGGCCATTAGGCCTGGAGTTTTAAAAGAATATTTACTGAGGCCTAAATGACCATTAGGCGTGGATTTTTTAAAGAATATTTACTGAGGCCTAAATGACCATTAGGCGTGGATTTTTTAAAGAATATTTACTGAGGCCTAAATGACCATTAGGCGTGGAGTCTTAAAAGAATATTTACTGAGGCCTAAATGACCATTAGGCGTGGATTTTTTAAAGAATATTTACGGAGGCCTAAATGACCATTAGGCGTGGATTTTCAAAAGAATTTTTATGAAGACCTACAAGGCCATTAGGCGTGGATTTTTTAAAGAATTTTTATCCAGGCCTAAAAGGCCATTAGGCGTGGATTTTTTAAAGAATTTTACTGAGACTTAAAATGCCATCAGGCGTGGATTTTTTTAAAAAAAAAAAATTATGAAGGTCTAAAATGCCATCGGGCGTGGATTTTTTAAATAATTTTTATGAAGGCCTAAAAGGCCATTGGGCGTGGATTTTTTAAAGAATTTTTATTGAGGCCTAAAAGGCCATTAGGCTTGGATTTTTTAAAGAATTTTTATTGAGGCTTAAAAGGCCATTAGGCATGGATTTTTAAAAGACAACAATTTTTTAAAGAATATATTTGTTTAATTTATTTTTAATTTTAACAATAATCAACAATATAATTTATTATAAGAAATTAACTCTTCTTTTCGATCTGCTAAAATGAGTGTGTGTGACCCTCAAAAAACCTCATTCACATGTATATATTTATATCTGAGTGTTATTCCGCTACAATATAAATCGATTCCAGATATTTCAATTGCCGAAAACAATAATCCAAATAATTCTGTTTTTCGTATTCGGATTGCAGCCCATGTGGTCCCAGTTGTGTTGTTGTCGTCGTATGAGGTAAGCTATAGGTAGGCGGCGGTGGAACGTTTTGACTTAGATGCCACTGGTCTTGTTGATAGTCCTCTTTTGATGGTAGTTTCTCTTCAGGATGATCTGTTTTATAGTGATATATCAATGCTTTCATATGTAATAGCGTTTGATGGCAAATATTGCATTTTTTATGTAGTGTTAAATGTTTCCGATAAGCAAAGGCACTCGATAATACTCTCATGCAGAAATTACACTGAAATTCGTTTGTCATAATTTCCAATTTATTTTTTACCCAAAGGAAAAAGATTTTAATGCACGCTTGGTCTTCAACACCGAACTGTTCAAATACGACTGATGGCTCGGTTTCAAAACAATTGTTTACAGTTTCGAAATATTTCTGGAGTAAATACTTTAGAAATGTTTTTCAAGTCTATTATAGATACAAATAAACATATGACTGAACATAAACTCTAACACATGCACACATACCCAAAATAGGATAAATATTTTAATACCTAGAATCCGCAACAACAAACTGACCCTTACCATAAATATTATTGTTAGACAGACCCTAGCGCATCCGGCCACAGTGATGACGCAAGCAGCATGTGGTCCATCGCGTTGTGTGAAAAAAGAAATCAAGCGTCCTGCACTGTTATTTGATGCTACAACTGTGCGGCAGTTACCCCTTATTTTTGTTGTACAACCAGCAGAGAGGCAGGAGAAACAGGTAGGCAATTTCTTATACACAGAAAATTACAAACCTAATATGGCTCTGTTAGTCCTTGGCATTGAAAAAATAATTTAAAACATGCATAGTCCTTGGAAAAAATTCTTTAAAAAATCCACGCCTAATGGCCTTTTAGTCATGATTAAAAATTCTTTAAAAAATCCACGCCTAATGGCCTTTTAGTCATGATTAAAAATTCTTTAAAAAATCCACGCCTAATGGCCTTTTAGTCATGATTAAAAATTCTTTAAAAAATCCACGCCTAATGGCCTTTTAGTCATGATTAAAAATTCTTTAAAAAATCCACGCCTAATGGCCTTTTAGTCATGATTAAAAATTCTTTAAAAAATCCACGCCTAATGGCCTTTTAGTCATGATTAAAAATTCTTTAAAAAATCCACGCCTAATGGCCTTTTAGTCATGATTAAAAATTCTTTAAAAAATCCACGCCTAATGGCCTTTTAGTCATGATTAAAAATTCTTTAAAAAATCCACGCCTAATGGCCTTTTAGTCATGATTAAAAATTCTTTAAAAAATCCACGCCTAATGGCCTTTTAGTCATGATTAAAAATTCTTTAAAAAATCCACGCCTAATGGCCTTTTAGTCATGATTAAAAATTCTTTAAAAAATCCACGCCTAATGGCCTTTTAGTCATGATTAAAAATTCTTTAAAAAATCCACGCCTAATGGCCTTTTAGTCATGATTAAAAATTCTTTAAAAAATCCACGCCTAATGGCCTTTTAGTCATGATTAAAAATTCTTTAAAAAATCCACGCCTAATGGCCTTTTAGTCATGATTAAAAATTCTTTAAAAAATCCACGCCTAATGGCCTTTTAGTCATGATTAAAAATTCTTTAAAAAATCCACGCCTAATGGCCTTTTAGTCATGATTAAAAATTCTTTAAAAAATCCACGCCTAATGGCCTTTTAGTCATGATTAAAAATTCTTTAAAAAATCCACGCCTAATGGCCTTTTAGTCATGATTAAAAATTCTTTAAAAAATCCACGCCTAATGGCCTTTTAGTCATGATTAAAAATTCTTTAAAAAATCCACGCCTAATGGCCTTTTAGTCATGATTAAAAATTCTTTAAAAAATCCACGCCTAATGGCCTTTTAGTCATGATTAAAAATTCTTTAAAAAATCCACGCCTAATGGCCTTTTAGTCATGATTAAAAATTCTTTAAAAAATCCACGCCTAATGGCCTTTTAGTCATGATTAAAAATTCTTTAAAAAATCCACGCCTAATGGCCTTTTAGTCATGATTAAAAATTCTTTAAAAAATCCACGCCTAATGGCCTTTTAGTCATGATTAAAAATTCTTTAAAAAATCCACGCCTAATGGCCTTTTAGTCATGATTAAAAATTCTTTAAAAAATCCACGCCTAATGGCCTTTTAGTCATGATTAAAAATTCTTTAAAAAATCCACGCCTAATGGCCTTTTAGTCATGATTAAAAATTCTTTAAAAAATCCACGCCTAATGGCCTTTTAGTCATGATTAAAAATTCTTTAAAAAATCCACGCCTAATGGCCTTTTAGTCATGATTAAAAATTCTTTAAAAAATCCACGCCTAATGGCCTTTTAGTCATGATTAAAAATTCTTTAAAAAATCCACGCCTAATGGCCTTTTAGTCATGATTAAAAATTCTTTAAAAAATCCACGCCTAATGGCCTTTTAGTCATGATTAAAAATTCTTTAAAAAATCCACGCCTAATGGCCTTTTAGTCATGATTAAAAATTCTTTAAAAAATCCACGCCTAATGGCCTTTTAGTCATGATTAAAAATTCTTTAAAAAATCCACGCCTAATGGCCTTTTAGGGTTCTGTAAAAATTCTTTAAAAAATCCACGCCTAATGGCCTTTAAAAAATTCTTTAAAAAATCCACGCCTAATGGCCTTTTAGTCATGATTAAAAATTCTTTAAAAAATCCACGCCTAATGGCCTTTTAGTCATGATTAAAAATTCTTTAAAAAATCCACGCCTAATGGCCTTTTAGTCATGATTAAAAATTCTTTAAAAAATCCACGCCTAATGGCCTTTTAGTCATGATTAAAAATTCTTTAAAAAATCCACGCCTAATGGCCTTTTAGTCATGATTAAAAATTCTTTAAAAAATCCACGCCTAATGGCCTTTTAGTCATGATTAAAAATTCTTTAAAAAATCCACGCCTAATGGCCTTTTAGTCATGATTAAAAATTCTTTAAAAAATCCACGCCTAATGGCCTTTTAGTCATGATTAAAAATTCTTTAAAAAAATCCACGCCTAATGGCCTTTTAGTCATGATTAAAAATTCTTTAAAAAATCCACGCCTAATGGCCTTTTAGTCATGATTAAAAATTCTTTAAAAAATCCACGCCTAATGGCCTTTTAGTCATGATTAAAAATTCTTTAAAAAATCCACGCCTAATGGCCTTTTAGTCATGATTAAAAATTCTTTAAAAAATCCACGCCTAATGGCCTTTTAGTCATGATTAAAAATTCTTTAAAAAATCCACGCCTAATGGCCTTTTAGTCATGATTAAAAATTCTTTAAAAAATCCACGCCTAATGGCCTTTTAGTCATGATTAAAAATTCTTTAAAAAATCCACGCCTAATGGCCTTTTAGTCATGATTAAAAATTCTTTAAAAAATCCACGCCTAATGGCCTTTTAGTCATGATTAAAAATTCTTTAAAAAATCCACGCCTAATGGCCTTTTAGTCATGATTAAAAATTCTTTAAAAAATCCACGCCTAATGGCCTTTTAGTCATGATTAAAAATTCTTTAAAAAATCCACGCCTAATGGCCTTTTAGTCATGATTAAAAATTCTTTAAAAAATCCACGCCTAATGGCCTTTTAGTCATGATTAAAAATTCTTTAAAAAATCCACGCCTAATGGCCTTTTAGTCATGATTAAAAATTCTTTAAAAAATCCACGCCTAATGGCCTTTTAGTCATGATTAAAAATTCTTTAAAAAATCCACGCCTAATGGCCTTTTAGTCATGATTAAAAATTCTTTAAAAAATCCACGCCTAATGGCCTTTTAGTCATGATTAAAAATTCTTTAAAAAATCCACGCCTAATGGCCTTTTAGTCATGATTAAAAATTCTTTAAAAAATCCACGCCTAATGGCCTTTTAGTCATGATTAAAAATTCTTTAAAAAATCCACGCCTAATGGCCTTTTAGTCATGATTAAAAATTCTTTAAAAAATCCACGCCTAATGGCCTTTTAGTCATGATTAAAAATTCTTTAAAAAATCCACGCCTAATGGCCTTTTAGTCATGATTAAAAATTCTTTAAAAAATCCACGCCTAATGGCCTTTTAGTCATGATTAAAAATTCTTTAAAAAATCCACGCCTAATGGCCTTTTAGTCATGATTAAAAATTCTTTAAAAAATCCACGCCTAATGGCCTTTTAGTCATGATTAAAAATTCTTTAAAAAATCCACGCCTAATGGCCTTTTAGTCATGATTAAAAATTCTTTAAAAAATCCACGCCTAATGGCCTTTTAGTCATGATTAAAAATTCTTTAAAAAATCCACGCCTAATGGCCTTTTAGTCATGATTAAAAATTCTTTAAAAAATCCACGCCTAATGGCCTTTTAGTCATGATTAAAAATTCTTTAAAAAATCCACGCCTAATGGCCTTTTAGTCATGATTAAAAATTCTTTAAAAAATCCACGCCTAATGGCCTTTTAGTCATGATTAAAAATTCTTTAAAAAATCCACGCCTAATGGCCTTTTAGTCATGATTAAAAATTCTTTAAAAAATCCACGCCTAATGGCCTTTTAGTCATGATTAAAAATTCTTTAAAAAATCCACGCCTAATGGCCTTTTAGTCATGATTAAAAATTCTTTAAAAAATCCACGCCTAATGGCCTTTTAGTCATGATTAAAAATTCTTTAAAAAATCCACGCCTAATGGCTATAAAAATTGTTATTTTAAAAATGCTTTATTACCCACCACTATTTCCCCATTTTTACAGCAACAAAGTAAAACAAATAATCGTTTAATTGTACATAAATTTTACTAAGATTAATATATTTTCTTTTTCTCTTCATCTTTATTTATATTTAAATTGTTGTAAATATTTCATATATAATTATATTCGTCTTTATATTTTTTTAACATTGTAAACATAGATAATATTATGTTTATATTATTTTTTATTCATTTATTTATTAATTGTTGTATTCATTATGAGGTGCGTTGTATGTATACACACATATACCGTATATACCTATATGTATGTAAATAATTATTATTGACCATTAAAGAAAGCACAGTTTCACACAAATGCCATATATAAATACTCAAATAATGTTTTTTTTTCTAAAATACTAAAATTTTGGGGTGATGTATCGCAAAAACAAAAATAAATTGAAATAATATTTTTTAAAAGAAATTTTATTCTGCGCCCAGTGGTTACATTCTAACACATTTTTAGCATACTCTAAAAAAAATCATAAGAAATTTCGAAAAGCCCACAAACGAATTTAATAATAGTTTTATTGATATCAAATTATTTATACTTTGCAAAATGTTCAATTCTATTTTTTTACATAAAAATTATTATTATTATTATAAAATATAATCGACACAGCCGAATATTCGATATCCTACACCACAAGTTTTTTATTCAGCTTCTATGAAAAACTGAAAAGAGTTTTCCCATATTTTTCCATATAAACTTTGAATATTAATTTTGTGTTTGGAAAGGCGTAAGAGACCTACAAATAATCATAGATTTTATATAAATTATTTTTCAATTTTAATTTTTTAATGACTATCTGAAACTTGGATTTAAAAACCAATTCGAGTACTAACTATAGCGAGAACAAACATTTTTTCAAGGACTACATGAGACTTGGATCTATAAAAAAGTACTTTTTAAGGACTATCCAAGTTTAGGTTTAGAATAGTGGATTTTTAGAAAAAATATATTTTTTTTTGGATTTTTTAAAAAATTACTGGAAAATATTTTCCAATATTTTCCCCTACAAATAATATTCGAATACTTATTTTTAAAAAACGGAGGATTAAATTAAAAAAAAAAACTTTGTAAGGATTATAAAA